CCTGCCAGGTTGCAATGGTTCGAGGTTTGTTTTCCAAATGGAAACAACAAATCTATTACGAATACGACAAACCTATAACGAAGGACACTCTATTTAAGATTATAAGTGCTCTATATGACATTGGTTATATAGTGGTAACGATAACCAATGATATGGGTCCCACAAATATGGCTTTATGGACGGAACTTAACGTTGGAATTACAACGGAAAGAACACAATATCAACAGCAGCAGAAAAGCAATGATGATTTACAACAATGTTACTTCCCACATCCATCGGACAATTCTTTAAAAGTTTTTGTGTTTGCTGATGTCCCACATTTAATTAAATTATTGAGAAACAATTTGTTTGATTCAGGGTTTATTGTAAATGGTGAAACATTAGATATATCACTTCTGGAAGAATTGTTACATCTGAATTCCAATTTAAAAACCGCATTTAATTTGACTAAAGCTCACCTCGACGCTAAAGGTATTCAACGGCAGCGTGTGCTTTTAGCGGTGCAAGTCTTCTCAATGAGGAATGCCAAGGCTTTAGAATATTGTGGGAAAAAAGGATTCCTCTCAAATCAAAATTGGCAGGCAATGTCGAATGTAATAAAAATTATTAACAATTGGTTCGATGTGCTGAACAGCCAAGTGAAGTTTGGAAAGCACAGTGGTACTCATGCTTACGGAGTTGCCTTAGAAGAACAAAACAAAACGATAGATAAGATGATCGAGTTTACTGAAAAACTTAGAGTAGTAAAACATTCATGTCTGATGCCATTCCAGAAGAGAATATTAATATCGAGTACATCATTAAAACAGCTACTGCCTTATTTAAAAGAAAAATATAGCGATGAAACATTCCAACCTCAATACATAATCACTCGAAAGTTATGTCAAGACATATTAGAAAACTTTTTCTCTTACATAAGAGGCATGGGAGCTGCCCATACTCATCCATCACCTGTACAATTTAGAAACCGATTAAAATTGTATATATTGGGTAAGCCTTCGACTCATGCCATTTCTGAGAAATCTAATACGCAAATGGATACCTCAACACCGTTCGTACAGTTAGAAGATAAGTTTGGAATGGAAGCAGACATTTTTGAAAATGGGCAAGCGAATCGGCGATGGAAACTGCACTATTTCTTCATACAAATTTTGATGAAGACTCTACAAACGTTAACGATAGCCATGTGCTATTAGAAGAAGATGACAAAGAAGAAAGGGCTACTGCTGATATTTTGTAATAATGATAATTAATCATAATGATCATGATGATTAATTATTATTATAAAATATTTTAATAAATAGTTCAGTTAAATGTAGTTAATAAGTTTTTAAGTTTGATGAATAATTAATTAAACATTATATAATAATGATAATTAATCATGATAATTAATTATCATTATAAAATAATTTAATAAATAAGTTAAGTTAAATGTAGTTAATAAATTTTTAAGTTTAATGGATAATTAATTAAACATTATATAATAATGATAATTAATCATAATGATTAATTATTATAAAATAATTTAATAAATAGCTAAATTAAATGTAGTTACTAAGTTTTTAAGTTTAATCTGATGAATTAATGGATAATTAATTAAACATTATATACTAATGGTAATTAATCATGATGATTAATTATCATTATAAAATAGTTTAATAAGACTCGTCACAATTACTTAATCGATTATAATATTTATAAATAAAATGTATAATATTTATAGCTACTCAAGTAACTCAGTATTCTGCAACCGATGAAGAGTGGCAGTTATTACAGGAATTTGAAACCAGCGTCGCAGAGTAAGACATCGAGTCACAAGCGTTACTTTATGTAGCAGGATACGTCGCACACCGATTTTTGCATAAATATTCGCATTTAGGTTGCAAAACATCATTGATAGCCCCCAGTGACGATTGGTTGTTATTTATCTCGCGGGGAAACTGTATTCATCCTTCTCCTGAATTTTTCTCAGCTGCACAAGTGATGGATACAGAATTTCAAAAATATCATAGACAATTTTTTAATCTAGAAGATAAAATTTTTGACAAATTGACTTCAATTGTATGCACTAAAATAAAAAACGAATTTCCTACAGAGGTAATTGCGTGTCTAGTGCGAACACAAACCTACATTAGAATTAGAAAACAAAATCAAGAAATAGCAACAAAAAA